AGCAGAGTCTGACAAAGCCCCAGCTCAATCCTGCATGGCCATGGGCAGCTTGGATGAGGTGAAGGCTGAACTCTGGGAACCTCCTGGCAACACCATCTGCACTTACTGCTTCGTTTCTGGAAGGGCAAGGGAAGTGTTATGGGGCTGGGGAGATGTCCAAGCCCAGCACTGGGGCTGGAGACCTGCTTCTACCTCCCCAAACACCAATGACAAGTGATGGAGCTGTCCTTAGGGACCCCAGCCCTCATCCCAGGGTGTCCCTGTCCCAGACCAGCCCTCGCCCCTGGAAACACCACTAAAACCACACTAAACCCAGCCTGACCCATGTGGGGGTTGAACAGGACTTTGCCAGGGTGCATCTGATGCCCATCCTGGGTCATGGTCTGCCACCTCTTTGCCCCACACAAGGTCTCAAAAGGGACCCTGTTCTGGCATCCCTGGACAGGACCACACTGCTGTGGTGTGGTGAGGGTCTGGCCCACTGTGCCCAGCTCCCAGCCAGGGCAGGAGAACCCACGTGATGCCCAACATGGGGCCAAGCCTGGCCCATGGGGGGACCCAGCACACCGCCCAGACCCCACAACTCACCATCAAGGATGTGAAATATATCTGCAGTGTCACAGAACCCTGAAAGAGACACAACCCAGGGGGTCACCTCACCAGCCCTGCACCCAGAGGCACTGCAGGGCACAGCCCAGTCCTTGCACCTCTGGCACTGGGACAGATCCCAGTTGTGGCTGTGCTGTGGGTGACACGGGACCACAAGCTGTTCAAACCCATGTGGATGTGCCTCCCCCTCCCCACGCTGCACCACAATCCTGGATGCTGGTCCCTGGATGTTGGTGCTCCCAGGTCTCAGGGCACTATGTGCCACCCACCGTATGTAGGGAAGTAGTAGGTCACATCTTCACTCAGGCCCACAGCCCTCAAACGCTGCTCAAACTTGTCTATGACAGCATCGCTGACCCGGCTGCTCCGTCCTGTGCAGAGAGGGAGATGCCATCAGTGGCCTCGAACCCTGCCTGACCCTGCCCCAAAGCCCACCCTGTGCCTGTGACAAGGCTAGGGACCAGAGAAGGGTTATTGGTTCCCCACTGTCTCCCGTGCAGCATCATCTGGGGACAAGATGGGTCCCATCTGGGACCATGACCCTTGGGGACACTCCATTCCTGTGTCCAGGGTTCCCACAGGCAGCTCCTGGTCTCAGCCCAGGTTTCCCACCCCTCTGCCATTCCTGTCCTTCATGTGCCACAAGCCACAGAGCACTGACCCACCATAGAGTTTGACCGAGATGCTCTGGCCCTTCTGGTAATAGAGGATGGTGTAGCTGCTGTGGTCTGTCTCCCCCACTGCCACGTCCACCTTGCTGCCATGGCCATGACCTGGGAAAGACAGGGAACAGCCATCTTAGTTCTGGTTAATCCTGGTTAGCCCCGGCACTGTCCAGGGGCCTTGTTTCACAAGTGAAGTGTACAAGGGGTGAAAATTGGAGCCAGCCCTATGGGGTGCTGTTCCCTATGAGCAGGCACAAACCCATGGTGCTGCTTGTGATGGACCTGGGGCACTCTGAGATCCTAGAGGTGAAACACTGGGAGGAACGATGCTGGCCCCAAATCCCTGCCAACAGCAGGAGTGGGGGCTCCAGCTCCATGGTCCCTGCACCCCCCCAGCCCGGCCTCCCTCACCCTTCAGGAGGAAGCGTCCGTGCACCTGGGCAGGGAGGTAGCGCTGCTTCATCTCCCAGCACATCCCATCCCTGTTCGGGGTGAAGAGGAGGGTGTTGGCTGAGGCTGGGGAGGACCCAGCCCAAGCCCCTGCTCACCCTCCTTGCTCAAGCACACACTGTCCCTGGTTTCCTGGGACTTCTGTTTTCTCCCCAGAGAAATGCTGCAAAGAGATGTGCCAGAGCCTCAGTTTCCCCAGCCTAGCCACCCCCACACAACCCAGGCTGGCCAGCCCAAGCCCACCCCATGCTGGTGGCCGGGTGCCAGCCCACCATGGTTATGACTTCTAGCACAAAGCATCCCAGAGGAGATCACACCCACTTTGCGCTGGGGCAGCTCTCTCCTTGGAGCCTATGGCTGGGGCACTGGTCCAGCTCTGACCTGCCTGCAGTGTCCCGGTCCCATCCCCATCCTGGGGCACTCCTCCTTGCTATGACTTGTCTTCAGTGTCCCTGTCCCATCCAGCATCCTCCATCCCTGGCCCTGCCTGCGGCCACGGTGCCCGGTGTCACTCACAGCTTCCTGAAGGTGCTGACGTCCAGGCTCTGCCCGTCCCCGATGGTCACCGTCACTGCCGTGGCCTCCA